GTCCCCTGATGCATGATGGGACAGGGATGAAAGCTTGTGAAATGTCAGTCTGTTTTTTTTCTCCTCGTTCATGTTGTCAGCCCCTCCTTGTGCTTCCTCTATGGTTAATAACCGTGCGAGAGCATGAGGTGTAATGAGAGGAGATTCTTATTCAGATCAGGAGATTTCCCTTATCTAACACTCACTTCTTCAACATGTGGAAGTCACCTTGGGTGTTAAATCATCCGGCTTAGCCAAATGTATACTGTATACATATGCATAAAATACAGAGTTCTGGCATGAAACTCTAGATGGCGCAGTCCGATAGGTCTAGCTCAATCTGACCTGGCGACATCGTCACATGGTAGCTGATTGGTTCTCTCCTGTATAGGTAGCCAATGAGCTTACTGCTCAATATTCAAATACCTGGCTTTTGTTTGCTGTAGAAGTTGGCAGCGCACTTCAGAAACCCTTCACCTTCCCCAGCTCCACCTGTATAGATCTGCTACGGGGTGATTCATGTATGCTATATGGGGGTTATTCATATGTGTTATATGTGCAGCAGCAGTATTTCTTACATGCTTACAGCAGCATGTTGTGGATGTATTGGCAGTAGCAATTCTCGGTACTTGCTCTGCCACAGCAGCAGCAGCAGCAGCAGCAGCGTTGCAGATCTATTCCGCCAAGACCAAATACATTAAAATTGTCATGTACATTACCATGCCAATCCCTCCGAGAGTTGTCATGACAGAATTCATGTTATATTGAATTAAATGTTATATTCAATACACAAAATACACTGTTCAAAAGTTTGGCGTCGGTAAGATTTTTGAAAATTTTTGAAACATTTTGGAAGTCTCTTCTGTTCATCAAAGCTACATTTATTTGATCAGAAGGCAGCATTTGTTTGATCATTATTATAATTTAAAATAACATCTATTTTAAGATATTTTCAAATGTAATTTATTCATGTGATGTCAAACCTAAATTCAGTGTCACATGATCCTTCAGAAATCATTGTAATATACTGATTTGGTGCTCAAGAAGCTTTACTTATGATTATCAATGTTGATAATGTTGCTTAATATTTGTGTGGAAACCACAGTACAGTTTTTTCTTATATTGTTTGATGACTAAAGTTTGAAAGAACAGCAGTTATTTGAAACAGAAATCTTTTGTAACATTATAAATGTCTTTACTGTCACTTTTGATCAATTTAGTGCATCCTTGCTGAATAAGTATTCATCTCTTTAAAAAAAAGAACAAACTAAGTCAAAACTACTCAAAACATTTTAATTTGGATGTAAATATTATATATATGTTTTTTTATATATAAATCGTGCTATGTTTCTTATTATTTTTATTTTATTAATTCTTAAATCAACCTATTTATTCTGTAATACATTGTCTGTAAAAGAGCCTGGTTATAAGTTGGTGAGGGCATGAAAGATGCTCTATAAAGAGCTCCATCCATATACCAGCATATCAAGGCAATGGGGAGAATGGGAACGCTTGTGTATGTATGTGTGTAAACTCCTATTCATGTTTTCTCTGTTCATTGGGTCCATTGCATTGGAGAACATGGTGAGAGTCCCTGCCTTGTAGCACCATGTTTAAAAAGCTTGTTTGTGTTTTATTAGAGATCAAAGCAAGCAGGTGTCTTAGCCAGACAAGAGACGCTATTGCTGCAATCTGCTCCCCTCTCATTACAGCCCTGCACATTCAGATGGGAGAAAACAAGCCCGGCTTCAGTCAGCCGTCTCAAGGAGACCTGGATCACTTCCCACATGGCTCTTCTGGAAGTCACCCAAGCCAAACAGCATCAGGGTTCACCACTGTTTTTTAGGGGTAAAACGGGCTCAGACAGACCCAACTGGCTCTCTGAATATATCTTAAAGTTATAGGAGCACATACTGTAATATAGCTGTTATGCCATTATATGTTAGTGGGATGTTGTTTAAATATTAAAATCAAATGCAATTATCCACTGCTTAAGTTTTTCCACAGTAGATTTGAATATGCTTTGATTTCAGAGTAAATACAAACTGCTTTTAAACATGAGGTTCTCTTTGTCATCTTTTTTGGACTGACTCAGCCTATTTCTTAGGAGGGCGACTGGTGCAAAGACATGATTATGAGCTGGATTGGAACTGAGCTTGAAGTACTATTGAAGGGAATCTCCTATTGAAAAGGGCCCTCTTAAAGAGCTGGGATACTGGGCCAGTGATTGTCAGAGGGAACTTGGGCATAATATGGAAAGATAATTGGGTTTCTAAGTGAGCTTCACTACAGGGCTCTGATTGAGTCATACTCTTGAGGACTTCTAATCGTAACTTTTAGTCCGTTCAGAGTGAAAAATTCAGACCTGGGAAATCTCATTTTCTTCACATCAGTAAGTACTATCAGAATATTGTGGGAACCCTTACAACATGAGATTGGGTGACGATGCTCATAATATCTGTAACACCAATGAACTCAAACAATAATAACAACAAAAATACAAAACAACAAGAAACACAAGGAAATAGAATGAGAATGCTGATGGAACATCCAAAAAGAAACAACCCCAGACAATGAACACAGGAAACACAAGGGTTTAAATACACAAATGTAAACAAGACTAACTAGACACAGGTGGGAACAATCAGACTAATGACAACTATAGATAAGTATAAGTAGATGCCACATTCGACCGCTCCAGGCACATCGACGCATCTGCCATATTGGAACGGTCAATATATCGTCACTCACAATAAAAAGCAACGAGTTTGAAGATGCCTCATCATTGCACAGCCTCCACCGAACTACCAAAATTTAAATTCCTGAAGAAATTGGATAAACTTTCATATCAAAGAATGCAGTGGCATGCACGGGTGGGGGGTGGGGGTTTGCTCAAGCCACTGCCCCTTTAATTGCCGGCGCGAAAGTGACCTTTTGGTGTGATCTAGGTTCCCTTTCTGTGTGATCCAGGACCGCGATTTGTATCTGTTCTGTGATTTGTTCTGTGTAGCTTTATGTCTTTCTGTATATTCACACCAGCTTGCTTTGTATCCTTTAATGCAGTGGCAGATAGATCTCTTATGTAGTACAGAAGCACACAAGGTCATTTGTGATCATTAAAGGGTTACTCCACCCCAAAATGAAAATTTTGTCATTAATCACTTACCCCCATGTCGTTCCAAACCCGTAAAAGCTTCGTTCGTCTTCGGAACACAATTTAAGATATTTTGGATGAAAACCGGGAGGCTTGTGACTGTCCCATTGACTGCCAAGTAAATTACACTGTCAAGGTCCAGAAAAGTATGAAAGACATCGTCAGAATAGTCCATCTGCCATCAGTGGTTCAACCGTAACGTTATGAAGCGACGAGAATACTTTTTGTAGCGGATAATCTCCAAAATGTCTCTACGGTGATGCGGAGAGACAAAGAGGAGACGAATTGTTGAATAAAGTCGTTATTTTTGTTTTCTTCGCGTACAAAAAGTATTCTCGTCGCTTCATAACGTTACGGTTGAACCACTGATGGCAGATGGACTATTCTGACGATGTCTTTCATACTTTTCTGGACCTTGAATTTACTTGGCCTCCCGGTTTTCATCCAAAATATCTTAAATTGTGTTCCGAAGACGAACGAAGCTTTTACGGGTTTGGAACGACATGGGGGTAAGTGATTAATGACAAAATTTTCATTTTGGGGTGGAGTATCCCTTTAACAGTAAAATGCTTATGTACTGATTTAACTGGTGTTAAACCAATTAGAACAATGTTTTAAGCGCTCTGCTTTTAATATATCCAATAAAACGGCATTTCAGATGGTACTTGTTCTATTTAGTGATCATTCACAAGGCACATCTTTCAGTTTGAATCTTCCATTTAATCATACATGCGAGTTATGTAATCCTAAGGATACCAAGCTTTGAATTTGTTTTTATGCTTGTGACATCTAACATCAACCTCCATGACTTGCAAACTAAGGTTTGGGGACTTTTGGAAGTTTTTGGGTCACTTGAGGTCTTGAGCTGACAAATTCAAGAAAAATATGCAAATAGGCCATTATTTGCAGTTCTAGTGTGTCAGTGAATGTAGTGAAATTTAATAATTTAGGACTAATAGTACTAACAGTAATACCTCCTCTTTGACACAGACATTGTGGTGGTAAAAATGAGATATCTTCAAGTGAGAGAGAAAAGAAAATGGATAATGACATTTTGAATTAAGCAACTTGGAACAAACGAGAATAATCACAATGCAAATGATCAAGGACAATCTAAATGGATGAATTTGAAAAAGAATGATAGTAAAACTAAGTTAATTAAAAAGTTAAATCAGCTTGAGTTAAACTAGTTGTCGCCAAACGCAATAATCGTGTTAGCAGTGCTGAACGATACCAGGAAATATGAATTCCCTGAATGGGAGATGACAACATATCACAATCCTGCATAATACTCTAGTTGCTGCAGGAAGCAATTACCATCCATAATTTTTTTCTAATAAACTTGTATCCCTCTGATGACGACCAATTAAACATGCACAATTATGGTTACCATATAGTTATTCATGAGATGATTAGCATGCCCTCCTTGCATTCAGATTGGCTGCATACTGATAAGACGCAGGTTAAGCGACAGATAAATATGCAAATGGAATGCAAATCATCATACAGAAATAGCAGGAAGGCACATGGTGTGCTGTCAATAATAGGAAATTAAGAGGTGTGAATATTTATGTATGCACCTAAGTGAAACGTTTCCAAATAATTTTGAACAATAATACATTTTTATTATTTGTACATTAGTCTATATAAGTTATTCAAGGATGAGCAAAACTTAAAACTGTCCTTTTTCTGTTCTTGTTCAACTCACCAGAACAGATTTTAGAGAACTGAGCGACAGTTCACATGAGGATAACTGTTGGTACAATCTCTCTCATTCAGTCTTTCTTCCTCCATTATACACAAAATGATTCATGAATGCAATTATCACTCAAGCGTCAGCATTTTGAGATTTATTATGTTACTTTTATATCGCACACACAAAAATAATATGTACAATTACATTTTGGCAGACCATTTTTTATCACATTGTTCATTCTGTATGTATAATCAGTTTATCTACAGTATATGTAATACAATCTGTTTATTAGTTGATCTAGAAACAATATATCACAACAATGAAAGTTGATGCTAAGGAGATCATAACTGCAGAACTCTAATATACTGTAGTATTTCTCATTGTCGCATTAGTATTGCTCATCCATAACTTTAAGTGTAGTCACATGAAGTCACTGTATGAGAACATAACTGCAGTGAACTAATACAGTGTAATACAACACCGCTAAGATCACATCTGCTTCACACAAACACATATACTTCAGATATTTCATATGCACAACTAGTGTGTATGTAAACACCAATCCGAGCAGCAAAGACAATCTATGATTTCATGCCTAGTTGGCTAGTTGATTTTTTTACTTCAATGCTTTAGAATTGTACACACTTAGTACAAGGAAATGTCTTATGCAATAATGCGTCTGAATTTGGATAGAGCTTAAAATTGTGTCAATTTTCATAATTATCCAGGTTACACAAAAAAAGAATATAGGTTGGAAATGTTTGTGAAAGTCTCCTTCACTGAGGCAGAGCTTTCAGGATGGCGTTCACCTCTTCTGCTACAGCAGTCAATGCAAACTCAAACTGTTCCTGAAGACAGAAGAAGAGAAAGTGGAAGAAACTCAGCCAAGTACTTGAAAAACACCAACATTTTACACTAAGCACAAAGGCATATGTGATATATCTTGCGGAATAAAGGAAAAATGGACCTGAAGAGAATAATAAAAAAAGCAGTCAGAAGAAGACGTAATAAGTTGCTGGAAAGTACATACAAAATGTGCGTGTACTCCTTGTGTACACTGCAAATTCGTCAGTGTTAAATTCCCAGTGTTAAAGCATGTCAGAGTAAAGTGTTGACGTTATAGAGTTAGATTTTGAGAAATTAACACTATCAGAGATAGAAGCTGATTTGATTCAGTGTACAATCACAGTGTTACAGGTAACCAACACTTGCCAATGTTATTTCCAACATCCTGGTATTTATGCAGCGCTGTCACTGAAGAATCTTCCAGACGCCATTTTCCCTCAGTTTCAGAATAGCAACTGGTAAGTCAAGCTACCTCAGTGTTTGTACTTTATAGACTTTCTGTATGGAAATACAGTTATAAATGTACTGTTAGTGGTATCCATATATACACTGACAAAGTGTTAAATTTAACTCTATTGTTGTTAAATTTCCGATTTCCGATTTGCTGTGTAGATGTGTGTATTTAAAGCTGCAGAGAATGTGTGACTCAATGTGCTCTGTTCAAACTATGACTCAAAATCTGTCTCTTCCCTGAGGGGCACCCTGTGAAGATCGATCATTGTCTGAAGAGCGACCCTCAAAACTAACGTTTGAAACCAAAGCCTCCCACTGCAGGCCATGGAATAAACCAACCTAAAGTGGGCGTTGAGTCAGATGCAAAGCTTCACAAAACAAGAAACGGATAAAAATCCCTCTTGAATTAACTTAACATGCACTTTTCTGTATTTTGAACCAACATAAATTAGTCTCTCAAATAATGTAGTATGTAGTAAGTGACGGTAAAGGTTTTGATGTCAGTACAAAAACGAAACAGCTTGAATAAATATACTATTTTATCATTTTACTTTGTAGCGGTAATAGCTTGTGCTGGAGACATAGACCACCTAATGCATACAAATGACCATAAATGCATGAGAAGGACTTGATAATTTTCACAATTATCATTCACTGTCGTATGCAAAGCGATTTGGAAGAAAAAAGGCGACTGCGGAGTAAAAGTGTAAATGTGACCATTTTGCCACTAGATGGTGTCACATTAATGCCTCAATGTTCTCAAGACATGATGAAGTATGGCTGTGGATATTTATCTGACCAGTCAAGCTGTTTATGAGTTCTCTTCCAAGGTAAACAAAAGCCGGAGAGCTCATGGAGCTGCTAATGCACAAAAGATTCCTATTCTGGGCCAGGAATGGAGAGGGTAGAATGGATTTTATGAGGCAGACCAATTTAACACACGAGTACCTGCTTTGAGTGTTCTAAACGTGCAGGGCGAGGGGACATCCTTTGGACATATGTTGCTTTTTGGAGCAACACAGAGCTGAAATACTAACTGAGCAGGCCAGAACAGTAAAATCACAAATACTGTACTGTACAATCCAGAAACTGGCAGAACTAACAAACAACAGAGCTTGAGAGCAACCTGTTAGGTTAAGGTAAATACTTAAAGGGGTCATATGATGCGATTTCAAGTTTTCCTTTCTCTTTGGAGTGTTACAAGCTATTCGTGAATAGATAAGATCCCTAAAGTTGCAAAGATTAAAGTCTCAAACCCAAATAGATATTCTTTATAAAAGTTAAGACTCGTCCACGCCCTCCAAAAAGGCCTCATTTAAACACCCCCCCACATGTCTACGTCACTGTGTGGGAAGACTTACATAACGCCGCCCAAATGTTCACGCAAAGAAAGAAGGCGTAACTTTGATTCTCGCTGTAGTATTGTTGCTGCCACCGCTGCCGCCATGTCGTGGAGACACTGTTTCGTTGCGAAAGCGAAACTACTTTGTTTGGCCTTCCAAAAGAGGACACAACTAGAAATCAGTGGTTAAGTTGTATTTACAACACTGTTCCAGAACAGTTCAAATCAAATATTCAGATGTGTCCAGGACTGTTTCCTGATCCTGGTAGAGTAGACTACAATGCCGGCTGTTCTGACTCACAGACTGTAAGTATGTTTTCATATTTAAAGAATTTGACACTGATGATTCAAACGCGAGTTTTGAGCAGTGTAGAGTAGGGCTTGTTGTTTGTCAT